ATGTTAACGGTGGAATTTTTGAAAATTTATTATAATCTGTAAAAAATGTATCACTTGAACAATAAATATTAGAAATAGTACGTAGTATTTCTTTCTTGTCAGTAATTTTGCAACTGTACATTCAAGTCGCTCTATCTCGGAAACCGTGGGGAATAGGACATATATTCATATGAACATTTTTGCTTAAAATGACCGATACGATCACCTCCCAGAATATTGACTTTTTCTCCTGGAATAGCCTGTATATATCATTATACGTTTTATTTAAAAAACCAGTTTTTTAATTAGGTAAAAAATCCGGTTTTCAATAACGCAAAAAATCCAGTTTTCAAATCAGATTTGCGAGGGTCAACTAGTTTTTATATCGCTAAACTTTCGTCTCTTTGATCTATTATATGTCTTTGCATATCGTTCTTATTTAATATATTTGAAGACATTGTATATAACCAGATAAGAAAGAGGAAAAAAGAAATCTATTCTGCGAATATAGACTGATTATTGTAATAAATTATTTATGATTTGCAAGGTATGTCGTATAAACAGTAATTATTAATGCATTATCATTGTCATCGACCACTGTTGGCTAATAGCAAGATATCTTTTTAATTTTTTTTTTTTTTGCTTTATTAGAATATTTATCTTTGAAAGAATAATATATTGATCACCTTAAACTATTTTAAATAAATCTTTAATTGGTTTTATTATTTTCTACATGACCATGAGGTAGGCAATGTAGAATTCTAATCACACTCACAATAATTAACGACTTGGGATCAGCTTTAACAGTTTTTTAAATACTGTCTCTGAATCATTCTAATTTTTTCTTTATAAATAATCCAATTATTACACACTGCAAGTTTTTTCTATATATATGTTGATGATTTGCAAATCTATTTCTATACCGCAGTTAAGTATACAATTATAGAATTGATCAATAAAAATGTAGCTGTTGTTAATGACTGGGTTTCTAATAACTATTTTTTAATTAAAGTTAAAAAAATAAAAACAATGTAATCGGCACTTCTATAATGCAAATAATTTGCCTGCGATCTTGACAAGAAACCAGTTATAATAGCTTTTAATTCTCACCAATCAGATTTACAAGAAAGAGTAAAAATTTCGGACCACAACGTAAAAATTTCGAATTATCTTCATTACTTAGATTTCAATTGAATTTCGCTAAAAAGGTGTCGACTATATTTTTTAGACTGCTTACTCTGTCAACTGCTTTCGAGTGATAATACAATCTTTTCAATAGATTTAAACATTTATCCGCTTATGAGAGACTCCAGCGAGGCACTTCTTCTCTAGAGGTTGGAAGTCTCATTATCCCGAAGAGTAATTTATCAAAAATCCTTTAAAAAGCATCCTCTCTGTTCAACTAGTTACCCTGTGAGTCCATTGAATCGCCCTCCATTAAATCATTTAAAAGAAACTTTGCAATACATATCTTAAATGTTAAACCGGTAAAAGCTGGCAGCTTATACGCTTTTATCTGCTTCTGTGCTTTTAGCTCAATTTTATCATATTATCATTCTAATATATTTATCTTTATTTTATTTTTTGTTTACTATATTTTGGTTTTTAATTTATATTTTTGGATTTTGATTTATATTTTATTCTTCATCTTGCTACTATTTTTTATTACTATAATTTTTTTCTTGTGTCTCCTATATTCCCAATTTATTATTATTTTATTTTATTATATACTTTTTGTACTATGCATTTTCTTAGAAAAACTTTTGAAACAGAAAAAGCTATTATTATACTATTACAAGTTCTCAAGTTTAAAATCTCTCGACATTTAATATATTAATTAATTTAAAGTTAATTTCCAATTGATAAATACAAAAATAAATTTTAAATATTAGTTTGCTTTAACAATAATATACATTCAGTTTTAAAGAACTTATTAATTATTATATATTTGTGTTATATAAATAATAAATTCTTATTAATACTGAAATATTTTTTTACAAAATTCTTTGTATAATCTTTCTGGTTACTGTAATTTATATTACTTATGCTAGCTTAATTTTTCTATTTTCTTCTATAGGTAGTACCGGATTTCTCGGAAAGATGTTAATTGAAAAATTGTTACGAAGTTGTCCCGATATTTCTAAAATATATCTATTGATACGTTCGAAGAAAGATGAATGCCCTAAAAGCCGACTAGATGATATATTTGAAAAACCGGTGAGTATCTAAAAAGTAGTAAAATAATGTATTTGTGAAACGTTGTTACATGAATTTATAATCTGCAGTTGTACAACCGATTAAAAGAAGAAATGCCCAATTTTCGCAAAAAAGTCGTGCCGATTATAGGCGATTTTAATGTCGAAAATTTAGGACTGTCCGAAAATGATAAAAATATGTTGATACGTAAGGTAAGTAATTTAAATTTCTCTTATTCTTCCTTGCATTTGTATAATTATATTATTAGAGCGCAAGAAAAATTATTGTATATTTAAGAAATATATATTCCATATAAGTTTAAGTTTTAATTATTAAGACAGTTAAAAATAGCTCCCTCTTTCTATTGTATTTGAGATTTTACAAATATTAATATTATGGTACATTGGAAAATCATTCTTGTTATATTTACTTTATATTTCAGGTGTCCATAATTTTCCACTTGGCGGCGACTGTACGTTTCGATGAGGAAATAAAAACTTCTGTGATAATAAACGTTATTGCTACCAACGTCATTCTAGACATGGCTAAACATATGCTAAACTTAAAGGTAATTTTTTTTAATAATTAGTGTTGTAAAATGATTGAAAAACATTATGAATTTTCATGAATTTAGAAAAAATTATAAAAGAAACATTGACGTTTTGCAGTCACTTATTCACGTATCGACCTTGTACGCAAATTGCCATGTGAAACATATCGAGGAACGTTTTTACACGTATCCTATTGATCACAGGAATCTTATCACACTCATACATACTTCATCCGAAAACATAATCCATGAAAAGTTAGCTAAGTGTGTATTCCTTTAGTTTTCGATATATAATAAATAAGTCATAATTAATAAATATAATAAATTTTCTATATAAAAAATAAATGTTTGTAATAAATTAAAATTATTATAATATAATAAATTATTGTTTCGATAGAATCGCTTCATCATGGCCGAACACATATACATTTACAAAAGCTATGGCGGAAACACTTGTCAGAGACGAAGGCAGAGACTTACCGATCGGGATATTTCGACCTGCGATAGGTGAGAAAATAAAACTTTAAGGTGATAACATTAAGCCGCAAAAATATTACTGTTAATCGGAAGTTTCTGCGAAAAAATAATAAATATTCTTTTCAGTTATATCTAGCGCTAGAGAACCGATCATTGGATGGGGCGAAAATTTGTATGGACCAGTTGGAAGTACACTATCTGTCTTACTCGGTTTGTCGAGATTTCAATGGTGCGATCCCGATAGTCAGGCAAATTTGGTGCCTGTTGATTTTACTGTAAACGCTTTAATTGTTAGTGCATGGGATGTCTCTAATCAATGCAGGTATGATCAAATATCATCAAGAAACGGTATATTTTATGAAGATGATAAATTCACATATTTTATTTTCACCATAAGAAGTTTTGATATTAATTACTGTTATTAGATATTAAATATTGGCATCAATCTCAGTCCCAACCTAACTCTTTAATTTTACTCTCAAAAAATCAGAAATTATTTTATATAATTCATGTGATCATTATTATGCGTTACATTTGTGTATCATTTTAACGCTCGTGATAGATTGGCATCACACATGAACGATAAAATAATCAACTTTTTATGTAAAATATATTGATAATATTAAATAAAAAAATTTGCATGGCTTGTGGTTGATGAGCGATTTTTAAGAAGCACGTTTTAATTTTTATATAGGAGAGGCAAAGATATGTTAATTTACAATTATATATCGGCGGCTAATTCGCCGACATGGAGCGAATACATCAATAAAATAATCTGCATAAATCAGAAATATCCCTTGAAGAATTCCATATGGTTACCATTCATTTTTTTAATACCACGAGAAATACCATATACAATTTGCATTTGGTTAGGTCATTTGCTTCCAGCTTTTCTCATAGACGGTGTAAGGATATGCACGGGCCGTCGTCCGAGGTATTGTAGAAACATAAATGAATATTGATTATTCGATTACGTACATCTAATAGTTTATCTAGAAACTGAACAAAGTTACTTCTATAAAACACAAGGAATCGTAATAACTTTATATATACTTCAGAATGTGGAAATTATATGGTAAAATTCATAAAGCTATCAAATCAGTTGCATATTTTTCGATCAATACATGGTATTACACCAATGATAATGTTCAAACGATGTGGAACCTGTTGAATAAAGAGGATCAACAATTATTTCAATTCAACATGAAGGATTTTGACTGGTCCAAATATCTCACTGATTTTCACAAAGGCATACGTCTTTATTTATTAAATGAAGATGATAGTAATTTGGAAACCAGTCGTACCAATTATAAAAGGTAAGAAATGTCTCTCTTTAACTTGTATTAGAGCGAATTATTTAATATAAAGTTTTTAATATAAAAATTAAATTTAAATTAAGAACAAAATCATGAATTTCAGGCTTTATTGGACACATCAAATATTTAAAACTGTGTTTATTTTTGCCACTCTTTGGGTTATCTGGAACATATTCATCAAAATATTTGCATAATTGTTCCATGTTTCTTTAATATGTTTCTCTAATATGTTTCAATTTATTAATGCTATATTAGTAAGTATATTTTTATTTTATATGCTTGCCGAGAAGTTTAGATATTTTGTCCATATATCAACTTATTTTCTTGAAATATTTATTTTAAATAAAAATAGTTAAAGCAAGAGTTATCTTTTTAAATAGATATATCTTGCGATAAGACTATTTTTTTTTTATTAAACACATTTTTTTAATGCTTAATTATTTTATTGTGAAAATTACAGGAAAAAGATAATATGAATAAAATATAGTATATAAAATAGTATCTTATAATAAAATAGTATCTTATTTTGCGTTTTACATTTGTTTCATTTTTGTATTGTCATTATAATAAATGTTTAAAAAGTGCAATCATCTTTTATATATTTAAAAAATTGTTTTCTCATTTTTGTTAGAGAATATATTCACAAAAAGACTTGCATCTAATGTAGGGAACTTTATAAAAGTGTAAGCAAGCGTAACAAGTATTTGATAAATTAATAACTATTAGAAGCGCGATAATACAACAAAGGTGTAAGAAATATTATCAATTATAGATAATGTTATATAGATAATGTAAATAATATTATCAAAACTAGATAAAGTTAGAGAAATAAATTAGAGTATAAAAAATGTTTCGGATATAATGGGGGGAGGGGAGGGGCACCACGTTTTATATATTTAGCGTTTCTGAATGCGAAAGGTCGTCACGGCGGTCATCACGGCTATCAGTCCCGCTGTGTCCCTGTTTTAGTTGACTTGAATGCCACGCAAAACTTTGTCAGGATTTGAAAACATTCGTGATCTACCCCGAGAACGGGGATTACACTATTTGCGATGTCAAAGAGTCAGCAGCCACTCATCAGGAATTCTGGCGCCACGCCAATCGCGGAAAAATAGGTTATCGATCAACCCCCTCAGTCTTGAGTAATAACTACAGGGCCTCCTCTTCCTCCCAAATCCAAAAGGAGATAGGGAGAGAAGGGGTTAGAGATCCGCGTCTAAGAAGTGGAAATCTCGCGCACGTAACCGAGGCTACCCTTGTCGCGATAAGCGTCATTAAGTATATATACAGTCATGTACGAAAAGCTAAAACCGTGTCAAGTTTTTTAACTCCTTCAATTTTATATATACATATTGTATATATACACTATATATGTATATGTGTATGTATGTATGTATTATCTTATATATAATTCTACAGTTTGTTACATTATTGTTATTATTATGAAGTTTAATAAATAATATAATGAGAATATTTTACATTAAGTTAAAATTACAAAAAAGTAAACAGCGAGAAAAAAATAATATTTATAACTTAATATACAAATAAAAAATCATATATTGATTTAAACAAAGTAAAACTATTAATCGTTAAAATACGAAAATATATTGTAAGGGGGATATTATTATTAAGAATATATTTTTGTTACTTTTTTAATACTTACAGATCGCAATAAAACAAAAACTCTAACAATAAGTCAGCGAGAATTCCTATTACTTTTGGGTAACTAAACAAGTTTAGTGTATAGCTGTTTTGCTCGTGACAGAGATACGCGGTACTCGAGATAATTTGTGCAGTGATTAAACTAAACGGAGTATCTTGCAAGTCAAGTAACTGTGTACACCTTTATATAATCTGTGTACCAGCGTTTATTAATAATTCAGGGTCGTAGAGAAAATGCATCGCCCAGGAAAATCACTGCTTCGTCTTATGGGATTAAGTGAGAGAAGGGCATGTTTACTCTTATATTATCGCACAGTGTTTCTAGAAGGTCTATCGCAATTTTCCACCAAGCTCATGATATTCGTTAACTTTATTTCCTGATAAAATGCATTCCTCAATTTATTTCCTGATAAAATGCGTTCTACTTATGGCTGAGGGCAGGGCTCGTTCAACTTGTAGTATAAAAAAAATACCAAGCGAACTATGTAAAACTGGATATATGTCCGAAATATGCCCAGCACTTCGTGGTATCGAGCGACTAGCTCGAATAGAAAATAATTTTTTATGTAACTCAAAAAATAGTTTTAACAAATATATATTGTACTATTCAGGCTTGATAAATTGTTGTACTCTATCATTTAATTACTTTAAAATCCGTCGAACTTCTTGAAATAGTTAAGAGATTTACTTGTCTCTGGTTTTACAATTATTAAATTTTTATTATCGATTTTAATTTTTATTTATTTATTAAGCCTAAATTTTAAGCATAAATTTTAAGCAAAATGTAATAACATTTAACTATCATTTCAGAAACATATTCGTTTTGTTCTTTTATTTTCATCTCCTTTAATAATATGAGATATTGTTAAATTATCGATCAGACATTCTATATATAGATTTCCTTACCTCTCACATTAATCAAGTTAACATAATATATAGTTGCAGGGATTACCAATTCATCGTAATCATTGTTAAATAATCTTGTTATTTTTCGCGTTACATAAGAATCGATGAATGTTTTGCGGACAATTCCGTTATCGACAGTTTACTCATTTTCTAATTTTAAAACTGTCAAGGATCAGCCACTGGTATACGAGAAGAATATGCTTTTAAAGCGACGATAAGCGGAAATACGTTTGAAGCACGTAACGGCGATACATCTATTATGCGGCCTGATGCTGTTAAACATTCACAGCGTTTTGCAAGGCTTCTACCGCGCATCTACCGGATATATGCTGATAAACGACACTCCCCAAAAGAAGATACGCATACAAAGTGACTCGACATTGTCGACGGACAATGTAATGCCAGATTCTTCGTCAAATTTTCAAAGCCAAATTTTTTACAGAAAATGTAAAAAGAAAGCTATTCTCTCTTTCAGCGCGTGATTAAATTTTTAATATTAACTATACATATATATTGCAAAAACACATTTGAAATCTAATTTCTCCGCAAGATTTAGATTATACGAAAAATTAACTGAGAAATTTGATTTCAAATCAATACCTGCGTTTGATTGAACACACACTCGCTCATACACGTGTTCGGTTTGAATCAGCTGACGAGCTGTCAAATTGCATTTGCACCTTGCACCGCATTTTCCGATGGGTGGCATCATCTAGTGTCGGCGGAGGAGACTAAATAGCTTCGCTCTGACGGTAAAGAATAGGAAGGGACAATCGTCGATAACTCCAACGACGAAGCGTTGACGACGTCGATACTCGATGATCTTGTCGAGCACGTCGAAGTCGAAGCCGCGGCCGAGGAAACGGTCGGCAGAAGCGAACTCTCTCATCGGGCACGCTTCGAGACCGTCGATGACGGTGACGTGCGAATGCAGCGGCCGCTTTGACGACGTATAATGTAACACCGAAGCGCGTTTTCTCGGTCGTCGGAAGCAGGACAGTGACGCGCGCGCGGGGCCAGGGTCTCGTCCGCGATCCCTTGGAGTGAGGGAACGGGCGAACAACACGAACGACGGCAAGTGGGGCCCCACGCACAGTATGGGCATAACCTGTCGGACGACGGTACGTTGCAGCGCACCGATCCATCGCGGTGGAGCCCACGACGGAGCGACTACGGCCGTCAGGTCGTCCGCCGCACGGTATACACCATGATGATATAATCTCCGGCGACGATCGCGTTGAGAGAGAAGAGTGACCAGAACAAGTGTCCGTCATGTTTCACTATTTGCATCTCAGGAGTCGTTTTCTGCAGACCCTGATCCTCGCGTTGATCGGCCTGACCTTCTATGCATATTACCGTACCACCGTTTATGATGTTCACCAATACAATTTGCCACGGAACACCAGTGAGTATTTGTAATGAGAGAATCGTATTGCGATGATCTTTAATGTTGCTTTGACTTTAAATGAATAATTAATTTAATGATTAAAGGAAATTAACTTAAGGTAACATATATGAGATTCTGTATCAATTATTGATACATTATTTCTGTAAGCAATTATTCATATATCTACAAGTTTGAATTGTTTAGAAATTCTTACATTTTTTTTATTTTTGTCAAAGAATATTCAAAGAACATTAACATTTATTTAAGATTTTAAGATTCTCCAAACTAATTAATGTTTTGAAATATTTAATATAAATTCTTCTCTCTCAAATCAATGACTGCTCAAAATTTCAGGTTTCTCTGTGTATCAAGAAGGCCTCCATGTGCATACAAATCTCAGTGTGGACACACGACTGACAGCAGCGGCGTCCAGAAACTCCAACTCGGACAACGTGTCTCTGAGTCCGTATGCAGTGCACAACGCGAGCAACAACTCCGCGATCGTTATCACGACGCTGTCAACATCCTCCAGCGCCCAGTCCTCCGCGTCGTCTTCCGCGAGCACATCGATCAGCTCGAAACAAAGCGCGAACGAGAAGTTTCAGGTGGCAAAAGTTGCCAATGCGACCAAGTTAGCGCCGATTGCGATCCGCAATGATTCGGCACGCGCCATATACGAGATCGGGCACACGGTGCCAATCCCTGAGCGCTGTCCAAATCTTGGCAAAGAAATGGAGCTGGTGGTGATCGTGATGTCCGCCCCGACGCATCTCGAGGCGCGAACGGCAATCCGACAGACTTGGGGACACTTTGGCCAGCGCCGAGACATGAGCGTACTCTTCATGCTCGGCACTACTCTGGATTCTAAAGTGGAGGCGATCCTGCGAAAGGAGCAGAACATGTACAGTGATGTGATACGCGGTCGCTTTCTCGACTCGTACTCGAATCTCACGCTCAAGACCATCTCGACATTGGAATGGGTGGACACTTATTGTTCCAAGGTGAAGTACTTGTTGAAGACTGACGACGACATGTTCATTAATGTGCCGCGATTGCTGGCATTCATTAACAAACATGCAAAGGACCGTAACGTGATATTTGGCCGACTCGCTAGAAAGTGGAAGCCGATTCGGAATCGCAAAAGCAAGTACTATGTGTCGCAGACGCAATTTCAGCAATCGGTCTTCCCAGACTTCACCACTGGGCCGGCATACCTGCTGTCGAGCGACACGGTGCGCCATTTATACGACGCCGCTTTAGACCAGACGTACCTGAAGCTGGAAGACGTGTTCACTACGGGCATTGTCGCGCACAAGCTTGGTATCAAGCGCTCGCATGCCAATGAGTTCCTGAACAAGCGGATACAGTACACCGCCTGCAACATCCAGCGCGGCATCAGCATACACATGGTCAAATACAGCGAGCAGTTCGATCTCTGGAAGAAGCTGCTCGACGGTAAGAGCAAGTGCAAGTGATAACTACTAGCGAGGCCAAAGACGACGAAGGTCCTACGCTTGACCCTGGCGAACCAAATGGTACGATCGTTACCGCCTTAATGCGATTCGAGTGCCCGGTTAAACGCCGACCGGCTGTGACCAGCCGTCGTTTCACCTCATATACGTAGTCATACACGCGCGTGAACACACATATACATTCGGCTCAAACGCGGAGATAAACTCGGTGACACGCGTATAAACTATAGTCGGAGATTGTATGCCGTGGCACGAGAAACCTGAAGATTTCGCCGCTTAGATTTTTACACGATGCACCAAACATCTCACGATTCAGACTTTTCTCACAGGAATCGAGAACGAAAGTGGTGACCTTTATCTCGAATAAATTTGCTGTAAGATCTGTAATTTACATATCTTTTAAAAATTCCAAAAAATATTTTATTTTATCGCGCGTAGAATTAATTATAAAATTATATTTTGTAATATAAAAATATTTTTTATTTTCGCGAAAAAAGGGGAATTGTCTCTTTCTCTCTCTCTCTCTCTCTCTCTCTCTCTCTCTCT